TTATTAAGGAATAAAATATGTATATATGTATTTTTACATTTTAAAAATGTTGTTGGTAATTTATTTATTTGTATTTATCTACTTTTCCTTATGAAAAAAATTTAGATATTGTTGACAAGACAGCCAGTTTTGTGGCCAGAAATGGACCAGAATTTGAATCAAGAATCAGACAAAATGAATTGGGAAATCCAAAATTTAATTTTTTAAACTTTGGTGATCCATATCATGCATACTACCAACATAAAGTAAAAGAATTTAAGGAAGGAAAAGGTCAAGAACCTACAGTAGGATTAGGGCTTGGAAAAACAGTTACTCTTGCTGCTCATCAAAAACAGCAAGAAATTTTGAAACAAGTTGAACAACCATTTGTTCCAAAAGATCCACCTGCAGAATTTGAATTTATTGCTGATCCACCTTCTATTTCAGCTTTAGATTTGTATGTCCTTGAATTAATTTTTTTAGTATATAATTATATAGCAGAATGTGCAGTACAATTCCGATAATCCGGCACGCTCGAGACTTCGGATTATTGGACTATATCTGTGTAATGCAGTAAAAATGAGATAAATAATTTAAAAATCGACCATAGTTAATACTGTAACGTTTTTCCTATGAAAATGAGTCCAAACACGACATAAATCGGACTAATCATAACAGTAATCAATTTTAAAAACACCCTTAACTAATTACTGATGCCCAATTATTGAAATTCTACTGTACTATAAACAATCTAACAAATGTGATATTTTATATTTTAGGGATATTGTAAAATTGACAGCACAATTTGTAGCTCGTAACGGTCGTCAATTTTTAACCAATTTGATGAATCGGGAACAGAGAAACTTCCAATTTGACTTCTTACGTCCGCAACATTCTTTGTTTCAATACTTTACAAAATTATTGGAACAATATACTAAAGTAATGAAACAATCTTTTCTCGTCCATAATTAAATTTGATTTCTTAATTTCTTATTTAAATGAACGTAAATTTACAGGTATTGATTCCACCTAAAGATCTATTACCACGTCTCCGCGATGAAGCAGCTAATATGGATAAAATTTTGGAGCAAGTAAAATATCGCGCTGAATGGTTGAAATATCAAGAAGCTCAAAGACGCAAAGAAGAAGAAGAATTGGAGCGCGAACGAGTTGCTTATGCACAAATAGATTGGCATGATTTTGTCGTTGTCGAGACTGTTGATTACCAACAATTTGAAGTTGGTAATTTCCCAGCACCAACAACACCAGATGAAGTTGGTGCTCGCGTGCTTATGCAGGTAATAAAAGTCATTTAAGCTGCATACTTTGTATGTCGTAATGAAATATCTTAATCGAATTATACGTTTCCTTGTTTATTTCTTTTGTTACTTTCTCAATTTTTAGGAAAGAATAGAAGAAGGTGAAGACGTTGAAATGCAGATCGACAGTGAAGGAGAAGACGAAATGCAAAGTCGTGCCGAAGGTGAAAAAGATCGCGCAAAGGATAACAACCAAGTAGTTATTTTATACATTTATTACAATCGAAAGAGGACTATATATTTTTGTACTAACAACGTGTCATTTTAAGGTACAAGATATGGAGGAGGATTCAAGCGATGAAGATGATGTATCACCTCCAGGTGATACTCATAAATCGAAAGAATCGAAACCACGCGATAGTAATAATATGCAGCCTCCACCATTGCCACCGACTCCAGGAAATGTTGTAGTGAAGAAAGGATATGATCCTAAACAACACGGTAATTGAGATATTTAGGAATATTATACATGCCTAAATCGAATCTGAATATATTCTTATATATATAAACTTATATGTATATTATAAACTTTTTTTGCAGCAATTAAAACTACGCGTCCTGCTGCTCCTGATGAATATTTGATATCTCCGATTACTGGAGAGCGTATACCTGCCAGTAAGGTTCAAGAACACATGCGTATTGGATTATTGGATCCACGTTGGGTAGAACAGAGAGACAAACATCTCGATAAATTAGCTCAAGAAACAGTATTCGCACCTGGCACAGCGATTGAAGCCAGTTTGAAACAACTTGCCGAGAGACGTACCGATATCTTTGGTGTTGGTGACGAAGAAACCGCTATTGGTAAAAAGATTGGAGAAGAGGATAAGAAAAAAGATGATAAAGTCACGTGGGATGGACACACATCGAGTGTTGAAGCAGCAACCAGAGCTGCCAGAGCAAATATTACTTTGGAAGAACAAATTCATCAAATACATAAAGTTAAAGGACTTCTTCCGGATGAAGAGAAAGAAAAGATTGGGCCGAAACCCGCTAATCGTGCAGCTGAACTGTCACACATGGCAGCGGCTGCTTCAAAACCTCAAGCTACATTGAAGGCACCACCGAAACCACCAGCTCCCAAACCTGTACCAGTTCCAACACAACCACCACCACCGCCCACCATGAGTATGCCTACTATGGGTATTCCTCAACCAATGATGCCGCAAGCACCGATGATGATGATGGCTCCTATGCCTCCGATTCGACCACCACCGCTTATGAGTAAGTAATTCTAAATTAACGATATGCATAATTTGGAAGATACCACTTGTTCAACTTTTAATACATATAAAATATAATGCATTTTATTTTAAAATCATTTAAAAATCGATGTTTCCCTGTGTCGTGTTTGCTAGCGCCAGCAATGTCACCATTTATGCCAACACCACCACCTATGCAACCACCAATGGCATCCGCCGTAAGTATTTACGAAGTAAGATTATATTTGAATGGTAATTTATTTTTTTAATTAATTACTATCATTTATTAGTTCGAAATTGAAATATTTTATTGTTTTTCAGATTGGAATGAAGCATCCTTCTGAATCTATGGAAGAAGAACCTCAAACTAAAAAGTTAAGAACTGAAGATTCATTAATACCTGAACAACAGTTCTTGGCAAGAAATAAGGTACTATATGAATTTATAAAGTTTATATTTACATTTAACAATTGTTACGAATACATACTACAAAAAAACATTTTATTCGTTCAGGGACCTGTACAATTGAATATTGCTGTACCAATGATGACAGAAAAGGCAGAATGGAAGTTGAATGGTCAAACATTGAATATTACTTTGCAATTAAGTGACACTGTGGCTACAATGAAAGCTCTTATTCACGAACAAACGGGTATGCCACCTGGCAAACAGAAATTACAATACGAGGTATAATACTAACTATATATATATTTGTGAAACGTTCACGTACTTCGGGCGTTGTATGTTATAATTATTCCCATGTTTTTTTCAGGGTATGTTTTTCAAAGATAGCAACACTCTTGCATACTATAATTTAGCATCTGGCAATGTAATTAATCTTCTACCAAAGGAGAGAGGTGGTAGGAAAAAGTAAAACCAAAAAATACATAATGCATTTTAAACGTTTCACATTGCCTTTATCTAATGATTAATTTACTTCACATTAGAAGATTAATAAAGAATATTAATACCTTAGTAACCCAGTGTTACACTCACTCTAGAAAAATAAAACACTTTCAATTACATCAAAATTTCCTTCTTTTTATTTCTTTCTTTACTCTATAATTGAAATTTTTTTACCTTGTACTTTTATTGGTAAGGAATTAGCGATTTATAATTAGCTAGATTATTCAATAAATTGCTGATAAAGTACTTGCAAAATATACAAAATGTTTATATGCTTTCCATACTTCAACTGTTACTCCAATCATTCTTAATAGCTTCCTTTTAAAAAGCATTGTTTTTCTATCTTGCATAGTAGGAGATTCATGACAATATCTACTTGAATATTTTTAACATCTTAAATCTGTTACTTAAAATTTCAAGTTTTAGAAGCAGACTTCTAAGAATGGCTTAAAAAATACCCTATAAAAATCTATCAAAATAGAATTCTATGAATATCATCAAATTATAAAATGCTTTAAATGCAATAATGCTTTTCTATCTTTAATCAATATTACGCATTATTGAAGGCTTCTTCATGTAAACGCTTTTGCATTGTGTATGTATAATATTTACATACTTCACTTTGTACTTGTTTTATTTTTAATTTGCTCTACGATTTTTCGATAACGTGCAACCATCGATTTGTATATCTAAAAATATAAAAAAAAGTTCAAATAAAGGCATATTATTTGAATGAGGGTGAAATTCAAATTTTATGTAACTTACTGATTCTGCATCATCATAAGGACGACATACAAGTGTCGGTTCTGGCAAGCAACGTGTTATTTCGTCAAAGCTGCTTTCGTTTCGCAATAAAGCGTGCTTTGCCTGATAGGCTGCACCCATCATTGCCGAATTTGCTACTTCCTATTCAGTAGAATTACAAAACATTTAAAAAAAAGAAACTTCTGAAAATTTCGTTATAGTTACTTTTAAAATAAAGAAGTACTGTGATACAAAGTCAAGAATTCAAAATTTATATTCAGTAATTCACTTAAAATAATATATAACGTAAAATTAAGAAACTAAGAATTATTGCAATTTTTTACATTTTATCATCGTTTTATTAAGTGAAAAGTAGAAATCATTACCGAAATGTATACCGGTGAATTAAAAACGTCAGAAAGTACTTGTAGTATGGCTTTGTTTGTAGATGCACCACCCGTTGCAATAATACGCGTATTTTGTCCTATAAATAATCATGAAAAAAAAATAAGATAGATAATTTTTTTTAATTTTATAAATGTAATTTAAAATTAAAAGCTGTTTGAGGTTATGAATTTTTAACATAACACGAAAAAATGAATCTGACGAGTCTTAACAAAGACAAATTTTTCTGTTTAATTACTTAAAATGTTAATTACAAATATTTCTATATTTTATTTGCAAACAATTTCTTTCTAACACTTTCTTTTTTCTTCATTTACATTTTTGCGTAGTTGTTAAATTTTAAGTAATCGAGTTTCCCATCTATCGTCTCTATTCTAATTTGTACAAGTTCATCAATTACTTTTCAAAGTACACACTACTTTCGAAAGATTTCTATACCATCGTCAATTGTTGGATGTCAGATAAGGATAAAAATAATGCAATAAATTTTTAATTTTCACTCACCAATAACGAAACCAAAATCTTCAGCGTGAGCTCTTTTTGCAACGAATTGACCCTCAATCAGAGCTCTTACTTCTACCTCTTTCGAGCTGTAGCGCGATATTTCGTCGTTCGCCTTATTGAAACGATGATCTCCGATGACATACGGCAAAATTTCTTGTGCGTCAAAATATAAACCTAAATTTCCAAAATTACCCCGTGGAGTACTTTCCAGCAGCTCGTTGAAGATCTGCCAAGAACTCTGTGCCGCACTATCGCGTATTCTTTCGCGAGTCAGAGATCCATTCTTGAAGCTGCAAATTTGTTATTGTTCATACTTATCGAAAACCTTTAAAAACATTTCAAATCTCTATAAATAATTTCATTTACAATAATATCTATTAAGATTTATTCTTGAATATCAGAAACACTCAGAATCGACTGTTAAATTTTTGGTTAAAATTGTGGTTAGGAATGATGTGAAACAATGATTGATCTTCCACATTTCTCCAAAAAGTTATACTGTTTTTCTTTGCAATGTGGATATATTTTTTTCTTCAAAGAAAATCTTCTATTATTAATATTTTTAATATTTCCTAAACTGAGTTCTCATTTTTTAATTATTTTGTAAAAGTAAAAAGTTACAAGAAAAAATAACTCATCTCTGGTTATAAACTGAAGAATTCTACTCTTAAGATAATAGTAATGAAAATAATTATTTTAAACGTACCAAAGCAAAGCCATGTAAGATTTATCATCGATAGGGTTGCAGAAAATATGTCCTTCGAGAGCAGTTTTCGGTTTGTCCAACCATAAAAATAAAGTGTCGCTTGTCCCTAAGCTGCAAGCTATGTCACCTTCCTTCAATCTCATTCCTGTATATTAACAGACATGCATTCGTTCCATTGAGTAATCAGTATTGTTAGTATTAAATTATTGATGCTTAATTTATTTACTAATACCTCGACTGGCGTTATTTACAACTTCCGAAAACTCTAAATAAATTTTAGTCGTATTCTTGTTCAAATTGAATTACAGCATATTTTACACTCCATTAAACTTGATGCAATTTGTTAAAGTATTTTATTTTCGTATGTAAAACGTAAAAGAAACCGGTCTAAGGAAATTTACATCTGTATGTTTTCTAAC